AGTTGTGACCGAATCGTCTTCGACTACTTCGGTAGTGAGGAATGGCTCCACAATAATGGGACCCAATATATAGCCGAGTCCTCGGAAGAACTGAAGCGCTTGCATATAAGGCGGACACGAGTCCTGCCATATCTCTAGAACCCAGGCCTCGCAGGCATTGATGGCGGCGCCCGATGTGACGCCTATCACAAACTGAAGGCCCATAAAGAGGTAGTAATTGTAAATGGATGTGACAAACGATACGACAATTCCCAGCATCACCACAATTGATGACAACGCCACTTGTTTGGGCACCCATTTGAATAGAAAACCACCTGTTTTTTGAATACACATCAAAATTGAGTCAAGTTATGGATCAAGTGTTTTCAAATTCACTACATATTTATAGATCTTTTATAAATCAGTTTTATGTGAATGTCTATGTATTAACTGATAAATAATTGATGAGTTTAGCAAATGCTAACTTCCCTTTTGAGTCAACCCCCGAATCGGGACTTTAGTGTTGGGCGACATTTCAGCCGTTGAGCCGTTTGGAGACCCGTTGACCGCCGCCAATATATTCACGCTTTAAGAGCCGTTTAGGCATATATTTTACGCTAAATTGTTTGTTAGGCTAAATATTACTTACAATTAGTTCTTAAAGCAATTGATATAAATAATAGACCAATGATTGAGGCCTATATGAAAATCATATCAATCAGGAATTAAACCTTTAGTTTAATAGTATTTTAACTGTTTTATAATAATTATATTCAAGAAGTAAAACTTACACTTCTTTTCAAAAATATAAGAATACAATTAATAAACTTAATTATAAAATAGTTAGTTGATAAAATATAATAGTTCATTTAATAATAATATTAGTTACGCATAAATATTATGAGATATATTATACGGAATCTTTGATTCTGTGATTATCAATGAAATTTGATGATAACAACCCATTTGTGATTATAAAATACAATAATATACAATGTAAGATAATAATTTAGAGATAGATGAAAGTGGACTCACTGCCGATGGCTCCGACACAGGTTCCAATACTAGTCACTGAGAAGACAACTGACATCTGCTGCTGAGTGACACCCAATTGATTGCCCAAATCGAGAATTGTTGGGCCAAAGATGCCAAACCGGATCGCCTGATAACCATTGAATCAATTGAATATTTAGACATAAACTTAAGATTAGATGAGAAGAGATGTCTCACCAGCTGAAGGAACAGAAAATAGATAAGCGCGGTGGTAAGCAGTCTGTGTGGTAAACTCTCCAAACTCGCCATGGTCATCGATTACTGCCCAATACGACCAATCAGTATGCATACCACGTAGA